TCTCCTAGGGAAATCAAAACGAAAAATTAAAATCGGTCCCGGGTTTCAGGTTTTTAGAGCCAACTATGGTGATAGCTTTTCTCTGTAAGGGAATTGCTAAAAATGAATTTTAAGATAACAACAAATATTAAAATTACATATTTTTTTCTTACTCAAACATTATTCTGTACTCAGTCGCATACACCCTCTGCTATAATCAATTATCAACGCCAGCCCGCCATCACGCACTACAGTACTACCAGCTCCACCGTATGTCTGTAACGGTCTTCCATCAATTCAATAAGACAAGATCGGCTACAACCACAAGCTGTCAACAAACTCAATCCCTATAACTGATTCCATCTATCTGCAGTTAGATAGGCTTTACTGTTCTTCCAGAATTAACTCGATTTCTCACTCGCAACTAGGGATAAATGTGCAACTGCAGTATCTAGATCTAAAAATACCAGATCGTCCGTATCGGCCTTGACCTTAACCTACTGACCGCCGGATCTGGACCTAACCGGATGGCTTTCTCACTTGTGTCATCCGGAGCGAGTGATCGGATTGCACAATCGGACATCCGGAAACGGATTCGCCAATCCGGATACGCGGCTCGAGCTACTTCTGCAGAGTGCGGAACAAGGAGGGATTTCGCCTCGGGTTTCAGGTTTTGTCTAAGGTCCACCGATATCGGAGGATGGGTTGGACTGACGGAACTAAGCTGATTTAGATTTATGACTTGACTTGCATACACTCAAGTTTAACCGCAATTGTAATATTTGTTTGTACGTATTAAATTATTATGTTAAAAATTGAGTTGTTTCTGTCGAATAGGTTTTTACGGCTTTGGGTGAATAAAGGGGTTTTTGTCGCGTAAAAAATAAATGTATCGACGAGATTCTACAATAAACTACACTTGGTACACCACATACCAAAACAGCTCAGCAGCAGTGTATACATAGCTCTGATATTGTGAAAATTGTAGTGAAACTTTCTCGTGGTTTACCCTCAGTGATACATTATAAGTGCAATCTGTGGATCAATAAGCTAAGAATGTTCATTTTACATACATAAATATTAAATCGTAGTCACATTACAGGACATAAGTACCCAAGAAGATTAAACTAAAATTTGGCACGGTTACATAGTGACAAATATATTGTCATAGAATTTACCTGGAGAGTAGAATGGTGTTTCGGGTTTTTACATTCTTGGCAGAGAGAACAGTACTGTCAGTGTAGATCTTGGACCGTCATGCTGTTCGATGCGTGATTATTACATTGTTAATCAGCTAACATGTTTAACCACCCGTGAGAACCACCCACGTTAGTTCCTTACTACTAAACCAGTGAACACCATTATATTATAAATTCTATATTTAAATATAATCTGGATGTGTGTGTTTATAATTTCCCACATTTTCGTCGGTCGTCGTGTGTTGTTGGGAAAGCAGGCGAAGGTCATTGTTGACCAACTTGGTAGTTTTTGCTCGACTGTCAGTTATGATTCTCCACGCAACCGACCCATTGTGGACCAGCTTATGTAATCTGCATGGACAACATTTATACACAGAAGCTTGTTGGATCAGACAAATCTCAAGTGTTTTACAAGTTGTGATATACTGATCATTAGTATACCCATCTGATCCTAGATAAGAGACGGACTTTAAGGTGATCCTCACTACTTACTCAGCTTAGCATTACAAATTTAGTTCGATTCATTTAACACTCATCTTTAATTTATTTTCGCCTTGAACTAGGCGTATTTTTTATTCCTGCGAGTGGATTTTTGCCTAGACTCAAATGTCATCTATTTGCCACTGTGCTATCTATTATGATGGCAAAAGTCGACGTTACCAAATAAACCGGTCTATTGCTAAGCTTTTTCTTGTTGAGCAAAATTATCTACTGGAAAAGCTCACGCTGTTAAATTCACTCTGAAATAGGGCAAACATTTAAGACATATCAGTGACCATGTTTCACGTTGTACTTTTGACGTTTGCAACCACGGTGCACCATTTAATAATCTATTTTTTTGTCTACCCCAGTGGCATTATTATAATTATTAAGATTTGACTTAGTTGCTCAAACGGTTTTAGGTGGTCCAAACCCATGAAAGTTGTTTGCTGCCTTTTAAAAAGTAACAATATTTGAGCATCGCAAAGAAATTAAATGTTTTTTTTACGGAATACAACCTAATGTTCCTAAACCTAACCAACCTCGTAAAGGTTCAAGTCAAAGCCCTAAGGCTTTCGCATCAAAACTGCAACATACCTATGGCATGTCACTCGTCACTATAGTATGTTTGGCCTTGACGCTCTCCCGCCAAATGTCAATCCCTGTTATACCCAGCTGATAGGTTGTGACAATATCAGCTGTGACGACTCTTTGTACACATTTCGTCGCGCCGCTCCTCTGTCACCAGGTCCCAATCTACTTTCAATCAACTCATTTCCATCCCTTTCCATCTGATGAATAGGCGGGGAAAATCGTGTACTACATATGTTGCGCTGGCTGTTTGTCAACATACCACAATGCGACTGGTTGTGTAAAATGTGGATTGGAACTTAGGGAGCTGCATAACAAACGGCATGTACAGAAAATGTGAGTACACAAAACGTAGCTATTGCAATCACTATCTATACAAATTGAACGAAATATATTGTCAATTAGGTGCTCTACTAATAACTAGGAAAGACATATCAAAAGCGTAAGGGTAAAATTCCAAAGCAGATCAGAAGATTAATTTGTTTATCACCTTCTATTATTTTATCGCTCAGTTCTCCCACATCGGTCGCGGTAACTACAAATCTCGTCCGACAAAAACAAGGACATTTTCGCCACGCAGCTAAGTGTGAAGAATTAGTTTCCTGTCGCGACGGTCAGAGGTGACATTAGAAAGTAAAAGGCCTAGAGAAAATAAAACAATAAATACAGGAAGATGTGAACAACATTGTGGAGGGGAGTCTCAACTATCGACCAAGAGTCCAGCTACTTTCTCTGCCTCGACCAGCTACATCTCCACGACCTTGCCTGACACAACACTTGTCCTTCTACATAGGGTACAGGAGAGGCATCTCAGCAATGATCAGTTTGGTAATGAATTTTCTCTACCTAAGGTATTGTGAGACTAACGAAGACATCAAATGTAACAATGTAGGTATATTTTTGACAAGAAAGTATAGTATGCTGGACAGAAATTTACTCATGGGCGGGAACCTTCGATGTTATAGAAGGGTCATGTCAGAAAGGAGGCTACTAATGCCCGAGCACCAAATGGACAAATTGCCACGAAGGTAGTGAGGATGATTATCACAGACGGATTCCAAGTCCATGTCTTGTTGACTTTGGTGAGTCACACTACTTCTTAATTAGTCCCTGTTGTGTGATAAAGTATAATTATTTGATGTAGCCGCTTTGGGTCCAAGCCCTGAGCTCAACTACCTGTTACGTCTATGTCGTATGCATGATCAGTCGATGATCCGGGGGTGAAGCTGGGGACTTCCCCAGCTACCGTATATGATCCCACAGAGAGTCCTCTGTGGTGTCTTGAAGGTCCTCAAGAAGCCTGTTGACTAAAGTCCCTGATGATCGGAACGGCGGTCGAGTCTCTGATGACGGAGTTCCTCTCGTAACTGGGCGAATGATACAAGCTTAAACCTAAGACTAAATTCGGCATTGAGGTCCGTGCTTGTGGACCAGCGAGGATTGGGAATAGTCAAATTCTCACCGACAGCGACACTTGGCCTGCTACATCTGTAAGGGATCCCTCGCTTCGGGAGGTCCAATCATGTCAAAATATTACCCTGACATTCCTGATACCTGCAGCCACTCTCCTCCAGGTTTCTCCCACCTCTGACACCGATTACTGTTTGCTGATTACTGATTGCCGGAGTTCCAGATCGCTCTTCTGGTAATTGCTTCCTCCTCTCGTCGACTCATCCTCTCTCGCACTAGTTATCATTTAATTAACCTCCAGTAAAGACTTCCTGGTCGTAAGTAACGTCATGGTAACGAGGATTGGTGGAATGTGGTCATATTTATTACTCAGTAGCTGGCAACATTCAGAGAAACTACTGTCACTGTTCTTGGTGTTGAGTGAGTGAAACTGGTTATTTATCTTCAAACTAAATGTGTGATTTACTATTTACGATTTGATTCTGTTACTGAAAAAAATCTACGATCACGTCAAAATGAAGGGTTTCAGTAAAATATTCGTAAGTAATTTGAACCAAAATATAGAGCACCAACAGCGAATTGGTATTGGTGTATATCCTTGCCAATTTGGGAAATATGTATTAAACTTGAACCTTGGAAACTTTATTGGAACCTATACCTGACGTACAACGTAAAAACAATCCAAAGAGTTTATGGTATTGAAAGCTATGCTACTCGCCGTTTCTTAAACTAAATCATTCTACCCACAAGTTCAAGTCCATTCTCTAAGTTCTGGAATTAGTGGAATTTGCTGACGAAGCACAGTAATTCTATCCAAGAAAGTTGACATATCTATGCAGCCACCTGCCACCACGAAATTATACTTTCACAATGATCATTCCGTTTAAGTTTGGTTACTTTCAATTGAACCGAATGAGAGATTAGTGATTGATCGGGAGGTAAAATCATTATGTAAATATCCTGAGGAACCACTTTCTTGTGTTTACCGGTTTCTTGGTTTCATCTACTGAAATCAGTTGTCACTTGTTTAAAAGTAGTTTACCTAGATGGTTTTGTCATATGTTTGTTGTTCTTTTATATTTATTTAGTTATTATTAAGATCATCTGGAGATTGTTGTTTTTTTGTATTTACAAATAATTCAGTTGGTAACATTTTATTCCTAAGATAAAAATTGTTAATCAATATAAAACTTCTTTATTTGACATGGTGGCAGCGGTTTAGTTTTTTTAAAAATGCCAAAAAACAATAGATTATCAATCAGAGGAAACAAATCAAATCAATCATCAGAAACACATAATGTTCTAGAACCAAGACAGCAGCAAAATAGGACTACATCAGTCATGTTTCAACCTCCTGAACCTTTTGATTCCAAATATCCAGAGTTATGGGAAAAGTGGTTTAAGCGATTTGAAAGGTATAGAATTGCATCAGGACTGGACAATGAACCTCAAGTAAAACAAGTAAGCTGCTTGATTTACTGTATGGGGCCTGATTCTGAGGATATATTATCAACAGCACACCTCTCAGAAGATGACAAAGCCTCATATGAATCTGTAACAGAAGCCTTTGACAACATATTTACTGGCAAAAGAAATGTCATATACGAACGAGCAAAGTTTAATTCAAGATCACAACAACCAGATGAATTATTTGATACATTTCTGGCAGACATAAGCTCAATGGCCGAACACTGTTCATTCAAGAACCTTAAAGCAGAACTAATACGTGATAGAATTGTAGTGGGTATAACTGATAAACGTTTATCGGCCCAATTACAAGAAGATTCAAATCTTACATTGGAAGAAGCAGTTCAAAAATGCAAACAAAAAGAGTCCATCAGCAAACAAGCAGCTGAACTAGAAATGATATGCCAAGGAAAACATGCAGAAGTTGACCGAATCAAATCAGACCAAAAACAAAGTGCAAGATTTAACAAAACCCATGATTTAAAGACAGCTAGGAAAGAATGTTGTTGGAACTGTGGAGGTCCAATGCACCCCAGGCACTTATGCCCTGCTAAAGATTTAACATGCCATTACTGCCAAAAAATCGGTCACTTTGCCAAACATTGCAGAAGCAGATTATTAGAGACTAAAACAACGGACAACACGAAGAGACTCAACGAAATAGGACGTTTGGACAAGCCTGACAACACTGAAGCTTCAGTAGCATATTTAGGACCTGTGAATGCTTCATGCTATGACTCCAGTTCTTGGTATGTAGAAATATTTATCAATAACCAGTTAGTTAAAGCGAAACTTGATTCGGGCGCAGAAGTTACAGCCATTCCTTCAAATGTAATTCATGCAAAACTTATGAAATCTGACCGTATACTTAGGAATGCTGATCAGAGGGAACTAGATGTAAGAGGTATGTTTATAGCAGACATAGCTTACGATGGGAAAATGGTAAAAGAAAAGGTGTATGTTGTTGCAGGATTAAATGAACCTTTACTTGGAATTCCTGCGATTAAATCTTTAAATCTCATAACCCTCAGAAAAGCTGATACTGCAGGACTTAACTCAATTACCTTAGACTCTGTATTAACGAGCCACCCTGAGCTTTTCATTGGTCTGGGTAGCATTCCAGGAGAATATAAGATTGAATTGAACGAAAACGCTCAACCGCACTCGGTTCGAGCTCCAAGAAACATATCAATTCCTTTACGTTCAAAAGTGGAGACAGAATTGAACAGAATGTTGGACTTAGGAGTGATAGAAAAAGTAGAGTCTCCAACTGACTGGTGTGCACCAATAGTACCAGTACTCAAGCCCAATGGTAGTCTACGTTTGTGTGTTGATTACACTGAACTTAATAGGAATGTTAAACGGCCAAAGATAATACTACCAGATGTAGAAGAAACACTAGGGCAAATTGGGCGCTCTAAAATATTTTCAAAACTAGATGCCCAGTCAGGGTTTTGGCAGATAAAAATATCACCTGACACAGCTAAACTAACTTCTTTTATTACTCCATTCGGAAGATTTTATTTCAAGAGATTACCCTTTGGCATTACAAGCGCACCAGAGTTTTTCACTACACAGATGTTTAAACTTTTAAATGGTATCGATGGGGTATTATGTCACATGGATGACATACTTATACATGGCCGAACACAAGAGGAGCATGATTACCGGCTCACTCAAGTATTAGATCGCTTAAAAAAAAGCAAAGGTTGTACTGAACAAAGAAAAATGTTCTATTTCCCAAACATCTGTGAAGTTTCTTGGAAACCTGATCGACTGTGATGGTATCAAGGTCGATCCTGATCGTATACGAGCACTCGAGGAACTTCCCCCTCCTAAAGATATTGCGGGAGTTCGACGATTAAATGGTATGTTGAATCAACTGAACAAGTTCATTCCAAACTTAGCTGATAAAACTGAATCATTCCGTGAGCTTACTAGAAAGAATAGACAATTTTGTTGGACAAGTCAACATCAAGAAGCCCTTTCAGACATTATACAGACCGTCAATGAATCAATATCTTTAACTAAGTATGATGTAAATGCTGAATCTATTGTTATAGCCGATTCATCAGCATATGGATTGGGTGCAATGTTACTTCAGGTTGAAGATAAATCTCCCAAAGTAGTGATGTTTGCTTCAAGGACCTTACAGGACTGTGAAAGACGATATGCCCAGATAGAAAAGGAAGCTCTTGCATGTGCATGGGCCGCAGAAAAGTTTTCTAAGTTTTTAGTTGGAAAAAAATTTAGAATCCTAACAGACCACAAACCATTAGTTTCACTCCTTGGAAGCAAAGACCTAGACACAATACCAGCTAGGATTCAGAGATTCAAAATGCGATTGATGAAATTTGACTACTCCATCGAACACATTCCCGGAAAAGAAATGTTTACAGCAGACACATTAAGCCGAGCGCCGATCCCAGATTCTACAGATGAGTTCACAAAAGAGGTAGAGGCACACATTAAGGTAATATCTTTAAACTTTCCAGCAACACAGTCAAGATTGGAACAAATAAAGAATGCCCAGATCCTGTGTGAAGAATGTCAGATGTTGGTGAAATACACAGAAAATGGATGGCCTAAATATAAGAAGGATGTGCCAGAGAGTATGAGAAAGTGGTATACCTTTAAAGACGACCTATCTATAATAGAAGACTTGATATGTTATAAAGAAAGAATTATTATCCCATTTGAACTTAGAAAAGATATCATTAATAAACTGCACGATGGTCATTTCGGGTCTACACGCACAGTCCTCCGAGCGAAACAATCTGTGTTTTGGCCAGGAATTACAACAGAGATAAATAACTTGATTGAAAATTGTGACACTTGTGCTAAACACCAAAACCAAAAGTCAGAAAAAATGATTCAATCAGACACTCCTGACTATCCATGGCAAAGAATAGCAGTTGATTACTTTGACTTTGTGAAAGGCAAATACTTGGCTGTTGTGGACTATTATTCACGGTACTTGGAAATGATAAATGTGTCCACAATGACTGTAGATGAACTAATCAAGAAGATGAAAGCCTGTTTTGCTCGACATGGGATCCCTGAAATCGTAATTTCTGATTCTGGCTCACAGTTTACAAGCTCAGAATGGAGAGCCTTTGCAGCCGATTTTGGGTTTAAAACTATTTGTTGTAGTCCCTTACACCATCAGGCAAACGGTGAAGCTGAAAGAGCAGTCCAAACGCTTAAAAAGATGCTTACAAAGAACAAAGACCCCACTCTTGCATTACTGGAGTACAGGTCAACACCAGGTCCATCAGGGTACAGCCCTTCGGAATTGTTGATGGGAAGAAGACTAAGAACCCGACTACCGTCATTGACGAAAGATCTCAAGCCTAAAATGGTAGATCACAAGACATTTAGAGAATTGGACAAACTATATAGAGCAACTCAAGCAGATTACTTCAATAAACGGCATGGAGTGAGAGATGAAAAGCAATTCACTATTGGATGCAATGTGTATATTCCTGATAGGAGAGAAGATGGGAAGATAGTTAATAAAGTAGCTCCAAGATCATACACAGTTAAGACAAACGAAGGCATGTTACGTCGCAACGGGGTAATGCTAAGACAACTACAACCCAAAACATCTGATGACCCTGGAACTGAGCCTAATTGTTTTTCCTCATTTGGTAGACAAATAAATCCACCAAGAAGAACGTGTCTTTAAAAAAAGGGAAGAGAAGATGTCATATGTTTGTTGTTCTTTTATATTTATTTAGTTATTATTAAGATCATCTGGAGATTGTTGTTTTTTTGTATTTACAAATAATTCAGTTGGTAACATTTTATTCCTAAGATAAAAATTGTTAATCAATATAAAACTTCTTTATTTGACAGGTTTGATCTCTATTGAAGGTTAAGCTTTTATCTCCAACCATAGTAAAATCTTTCTAAACAACCGTAGTAAAAAACCGCTTATAAGCATTGGTTTTGTTTAGCTATGTGATGCTGTAACTACATGGTTTGGAGCCTACCTTAATCTAACCTATCTAGAAAACCTTAGTTCTCTCACCGAAGAAACTTTCTCCGTTTGAATTATGTCTACAGCATCTCTCAAGACTAAGCTATATATATATACAAATTAATTAATTACAAATTCATTTCTTATCGTGTACATGCAGTTACAGCTCAGATAATATGGTGGCATTCGCACAATCTTATCTTTGACTCAGAGTACGATTCTAGTTTCTACTTTATTTGCTTAAGATTCTTGTACTGCAATCCAGCAATGGCAGATTCTTATCAGAAGTGGTTTGTGTAGCCCTGCTTTCTCCATGATAGGAAAATAAGATTATTAATGCTACTTTTTCTCGTCATTCATTTTTCCAGTATTGGAAGTTGGCACAAAAAAGAGCTTCAAATGTCATTGAGGATGAATCTTGTAAACTGAACTATGTACAATTAGCCTACTTTGGATAATTAACTCATTCTTCATTCGTACAAGATACCCGTTCTTCTTTTCAAACTAGAAACACGTTGAGACCCCTTTTCGGCTATGATCTGGTTAGTTGAGCAATAGCAAATAGCTATAGCTTAGCTGAGTGATTAAAGTGCTCTCCTCGCAATTACAAATTTCAAATTAAAAAAAGTAAGAAATCGTATGGTTTAAATGGTTTAAAACTGGGCCCAGCTTTCTTTGATCATATGGTTTTAATAATAATGATCCTGGCTAAAATTCAGCTGATTATAGTCAGTAACCAAGAAACAGAAGTAACCTCACTCCATTCTAAGTGCATCCTCAACTCGTGTATTTAGGTTTACGATGACACTTCCTTTTTGGTCCTCATTTCCTCACACACATCCGTTTTGATAACATTAATAATATGATAATTTGAACTTAGCCCTTAAAATCAAGCCAAAGTACCGTTAGGTCTACGAGTCTTATAAAGAAGATGGCCCACCACTTTTAAAATATGTCCAACGAAAGTTAGGTTAGGTTAGGCTTGACATATTTGCACAAGTAAAAGTTCAATAGTGGCGGCCCTCTTCTAGGAAAGGCCCCAGATGCCTTTTAGCATTGATATAGCTTTTGGTCTGGACTCTTTAGAACGACGTTTGTCTTGGTTCGACCCAGACAGTCATCACGAGGCAAAGGTCGTCCGTCACTCATCTGCAAGTTTACATCAGTGAAAGGCAAGTGAAAGGAACATTGTGCAAGCCGCAGTGTGACCATGTTATGATCCAGCTATTAATGTCGCAACGTTGGCACTACCACTGTCTCAGTTGGTACCCGTGGTGAATCCTCAATTAGCTGATAAGCTGTGTCACTCGCAGAATGTCAACACTAGGTCCTGGAGAAGAGAAGAGGTTCCGGGGTAGAAGTAAGCGGAGATTTCATCATGGGCATTTCTTGGAGATTTCCCATCGAGGAATGCTTGCAGATATGACATACTAGGAGGGCTAGTTAGAGTATTTATTGCGGATGTAACTCAAGTTGGCATTTAAAACACTGTAAAAACTATGCGTTGTATTAATCTTTTTCATAGGAATGAGAATGTCGAGGTAAAAAGCAGCAATAACCAGGTTGTACCATCGTAAACGATAAAAATGCTGTTAAAAATTGCGTTCTAGTCACAGTAAAAACCTTGGTTTTGAAAAGTTAAACATTTTTAGCTTTTTTTAAAACCATGCCACATGATACTTTTGATAGCTGACTGAGCGTAACGATGCTGTAGTTTACATACTGCCTGTTAGTTTAGAGCGTTGCAATCCTTTGGTGTCTCAATTTGTTAGCTTAATTTTGTTTTATTTGAAAACTAACTACAACTTTAAATAGGATTGGAACGTCCTCTGCATGGTAAAGTTGTAGACGAATATTATACCCTATGTATTTTGAAATCAGTGTTGCCAGTCTACTTTGATGAGAGAAAACTAAAATCTTCAAATGAACTCCTCTCATATTTCCCTTGTCGCAAATGCGGATATGGTACTTTCCTCAGAAGAATGCTACAACTTCCATCTGATAATTACATGTTACGGAAGTATGCAGTCAACGCCTACGTAATGTCACGTGTTACAATGCTGCGTCCCACCACTTACATGTGGTGTACTGAAATGTGCAATTTGTAGCCTTACAACCTATATTTAAAGTATTAAAATTGTCTCTTCTCTGTGTTTTGGTATGTATACCAACTGATATAACCTTAAATAGCACCCACCAATAGAAACGATGTTGGTAAAATACACCATAGCATTTGTATTGGGTACCTACAGTATGTGGACTTCTTATAAAAAAAAACTCTCAGGCCTTCGGATGTGTGTTTCCTGTTCGTTTTAGGGGTTTGATGTTCCGAAAAGTAATTCATGTATTTTAAAAAATGTTGTAAATCTAATAAGTCATAAGTTATAATGTAAAAGGTCAAGCTGTAGTGTTGTCAAATGAACCATTTTTGTTTATAAAAATTACTACGATCAAGAGTTGTAGTAACTTTACGACAACTCGTGGTCGTAAGAGTTGTTAAGTTGCTAAAATAGAAAAACTAAAAAAAATTTTACCTATTTAAACTCATAAGCAATTGTTATTGGACATTAACATACTTTAAACCTTACAAATAAACAAACGCGGCCAGTCTGTTTTGTTAACCTTGATTTTTTTGATAATCCAAATGATTTTTTTATCTGGCAAAAGAAAAATTGTAGAATTTCAACGAAGTAAGATGCCCATATCAACTAGATCACCAAACTAGAGCTCTGACTTAAATCACCAAAAATCTTGCAATTTTCAACTAAATAACTTAAAATGTAACTGAAGAAACTCCTACCAAAGATAAGTCCCTTTCGTGCAGGAGTGAAGGGGCCTGAAGTGAAGTGATCATATAGATCTCTACGTATCAACACTTTATTCACTCCACCTTCCGAACAATATGATCACCTCTCCAGAAGGACTATAATCTGATGAAGGGTAGAAAGTGATCACGAATCCTCCACACGAACTACAGCTGATTATTATCTTCAGCCCACGATAACTTTTGGCGGGAAGAGCAGAAGAGCTACGCTTTTGGAGGGAAGGAGAAGTCGGTCTATTATGGTAGGCACACTCTGGCTGGTAAAAACTACCCTACATTTCCACTATAACAATATTAAACAATATTAAAAATATTGTTTGCACTTTATCGACCTTTACCGCATGTAAAACTTGTTAACTTGTTGTTTTTCAAAACTATTTCTCCGTAGATTTACTCATTTTCGTTTTGTTAGATTTGTTATACAGTATAATACTTGTTTTGCCGTATATAATTCACTACTATTCTGCTATTAAATTTAAATGGATAAGAAGGACCATCATTAGACAATTGCCGAAGGATTCCACCATATTTCAAACAAAGAAACAAAATTATCTAAACTAGTGTCTCTACCCGTGGTTCACTATAGGGTGAGAAATAGAAGAGATTAATGCGGTTCAAACCAAATAAGTTATACATTTACCAGGGGAAATGCTCTGAAAAAAATAAACGAACAAATTTTTCCTACAGTCACCCGACAAAGTGGGCTTCCTTGCACAGATTGTTTGTTATCTCTTTGTTATCTGAAGCTATAGGCACATTTATCTTATTGCGAGGTACAGGCGACCATCATCATTATACTAGTGTTCTCTCAACAAACTACGGTGCTTTGGTTGAGAGGCTCATCTTTCTTCCTAGTCTCATTCTGCAAGTTCACTTTCGCCTGGATACTGATGTTCACACTCACACTGTGGACTCGTATTTTGAATGATTTTTTGGAGGGGAGAATTGCCTAAAGGTGTGTAATCTTTGCTTTTTCACCTTTAGTTTTGATTTCAGGTAATGTTTTTTATAAGGATTTCTTGTAATGTACAATAATTATACTAATTAGTTATTTTAACCACAAATACTGAATGGGGAGTATTTGTTAGTCTCGTAAATGAAATATATGAAAATTCTTCTTTATTGAGGCAAATTCAGGATCTCTTGGACCTTTCTAACATCTAACCCCTTAAATTACTTTACACACAGCTTTTGTATTAAATTTTTTAGACGAATAATATAGTGTTTAGGTATTTCTGAGCAATCTCAACTTCAATAATTTCTCTCTGGATAAAGTAGATAAAATGAAAACTTTACTTCAAAAGAAAAACGTAGATATAGTTTCTGATACATTATCTTCGTCTGTGTGAGGGTCAAACCAAGGTTATTGTTAAAACAGTAGTATAAACTAAGCGCTTTGATAAAAAAAAAAAAAAAAAAAAAAAAAAAAAAAAACTACAAATAGAAAATTTCTAGTACCACGATCCGGTAGGGTAACTTTACCCAAATGTTAGTTTAATTCGCAACTTCTTAAAATCAGAGGTAATTTTAATTACTGATTATAAATAAGCTAAATCACATATTACAGTGTTGAAAATCCGTTGGATACTCCATAATACTGTACGCAAAAGTTGTGTTTTCAGGAATAAAGTTTACAACACTGGCATTTTACTCAAAACTGCCTTGCTGAAGTTCAAAGTTTTACATCATCCAGATATTAAAAGGTACAAAAACTTCTTTAATAATTTAGAAACCATCTTGATGTTTAAATTTTAACAAGTTTCTGTGGCTTAACATTACCTAAAATAAGTACAGCTTCCAAGTCTAGCTCTTAACTTATTGTACATATGTTGCGGAATGAGAACGTCTGAGTGCATTTTTGCATCGTTAGACTCGTGCTAGAAGACACTGGCCTAATGAAGTAGTATACAGTCCTGCAGTGGGTATTGAGCTGTGACATAGACACAGTTCACACTTCCTGGTCACTAACTGTATGGTGCTATACGCATACATAGAGGGTACTGAATAAGCATAAAGTGCTTGAATGTCACTGTTGTTCACTCTCAGAAAGAGATTTTTTAGCGTATCTCTTATTGCAATCATTATCTCTCTTATATATTTACTGTCCTGATCAGCTGTAGACAAATCAAGGGCAATTATGTCAGATTTTGAGGGTATTTACTTCCAACTCCTGTTCTGAATATAAGGTTTCAACTTACTACAAGATTCCCGTACGTAGAACGGGCAAACAGCTAGTCGTATTATAAGAGTAAAGGACAGATCGTTAAATAATCTACCCTATGAATAGAATTATTTAGTCAAAATCAGTGCATCTCAAACGTTACCAAAATGAAACATAAAACACGATTGAATTTTACAACAGGATGAAAAGGCTACTCACAGTATTCAAAGGTGATTCAACTTATGTACAGAGTGTGACAGCTTTTAATTGCATTTTGAAACTTAAATCTCACAATGACGATCCATCATTTAACCAAGGTTAACCTTTAAGCGGTTTTACTTATGAATGGTCTTAAATATAGCTAACTTACTATTGTTTTGATGAAATATGTAAATAGACTCAATTCCAGTCTGATTTCTAACTACTTTCGATACCTTTGCACAATTTAGAACAGACAAATTAAGGGAAATTTATTAGGAGGTTTTAATTACGGTACTTATTATTCATTTATCCTGTACTCGAAGGTAAGTGGTCACATCATGAATATTTTATTTCTTGTCTTTTTCATCTTTCCCATCTTTTTCATCTTTCCCATCTTTCCCATCTTTCCCATCTTTCCCGTCTTTCCCATCTTGCCCTTCATTTTTCTTCTGTTCCTGATACAGATGATATATCAACCCTCCAGCTATCACTGCCGCCAATACAGCCACATATACCCCTAAATGCGATTCTTCCTTGGGGGGTTTTGGTGGTTTTACTCTACACCCTGGCTGTCTCTCTTGTCCACTCGCACCTCCATCTCCGCCATTACCTTTCTTGTGCCCTTTAGCCTCACAATCTTTCTCCATTTCAATAACAATCTTCTCCCAGTGTTTCTGAAGTTCTTCTAATTTAGAAGAAAACTCAACAATGGCCATCTTAGACATGTTTTCAGGATGCATTTTCGACTCAATGTCTTCTACTTCATCGCGCGGTTTCATCGGGACGCACTTCTTTTTAGCTTTTGCAACTCTTGACTCGCACTTCTTGGGAGGACAATCTTCTTTGGATTGTCTACATCCGCAGCCGAACTGTGGTCTTGTCGTGGACACACTGCGGGACACACCTTGGATCAGTGGTCGGGTCAACGCCCTTGAGAATATACTCAGAGAAATCATTGTGAATTTTGGGTTCACTTGAATTTTGACAGACTTTAAATGTGTATTCTCGTTGCTACGGATACGTCAGTAAATAATGCGTACAGTAGGATGTATTTTCAACTAGATACAGAGGTGTGAAAACTACGTAAAATAAACTGAAAACCGTAATGTTCAAAATAAACTTAAAGGTAACACCGATGCAATTTTTCACATACCTTCCTATTGCAATTTTAC